GGGGGGGGGGGGGGGGCTCAAGCTTCCAGCTTCCAACGGCCTTGTTCTAAACAGTTCTGAGTCGAAATTATAATCGGACAACATTCAAGATATTTTGTCTTAACTTATTCTTATTTCTTACCAGAAATCTCGAGTCACCCTCTCACTAAAGAATCCCTTGGACTATCCGGTCAACGTGACATTGAAACTAGCCCGCAAGCCCGACTCCAACATCACAGATGATGTAAAACAAGATGAGCTGAGCGAGGGCGAAGAGAAGGGTACACTAGAAGAACAGGGTAAAGATGGGATAAAGAAGGCTATAAAGAGGACTGATAGTTTGTCTGAAAAAGGATTAGCTAAGACGCAAAAGATACCGGTGGATAATAGTGGTGATAATGAGACAATGGTTGATACGGCTGAGGTAGGTACACTGACATGGAAAGATAACTGGAATGAGTTGGTTTTGGAGACTTTTAGACTTTAAAATAACTGCGACAACATTGTGATTTAAAAAATTCTTATATTTATTCAAGGTTGTTCTGCCGTCAACTCCATTACTTCTTGCTGCTAAAGACGACGCAGCCGAATTTGATGAAAACGAAGCCACAACGACGAAATACGAAGATGACCCAAAGTATGTAAATATGACCAAGCTGTTTCACTCTGTCAAGTTTACACTCCACAACTTTTGCCTAAAACTGTCGCATGCAACCTGCTTACAACTTGAGTTGTACTGTGTAAATTAAGCACACAACTCAACTGCGTTGCTGTACGTGAGATGTTGTAGTAGATTAACCATAAATATATTTTCTTCAGTGTAATTGCGTCACGTCAGGCCAACAAAATCTATTTCTATATTGACGTTACTCCTCTTAGAACCACTGGGGACGTCCAGGTACGATACAAGGATATTTAGGGATCTTTTACCTCAGTAAAATCATTGATACGAAGTTTAGAACTGATAGAGCTAACCAGTATAAATCAAGTTAGTTTAGTTTATAGGTTTTCTCCTGTAGTAACACTGGATCAATAAGAGATGATCCTTACTGAACCCGCTCTAGGGAGAACAGTTTAGAACTGATAGAGCTATCCAGTATAAATAAAGTTAGTTTAGTTTAGGTTTCCTCCTGTAGTAACACTGGATCAATAAGAGATGATTCTTACTGGACCTCTAGGAAGAACAGTTTAGAACTGATAGAGCTATCCAGTATAAATAAAGTTAGTTTAGTTTAGGTTTCCTCCTGTAGTAACACTGGATCAATAAGAGATAACCCTTACTGGACCTTTAGGAAGAACAGTTTAGAATTGAAAGAGCTATCCAGTGTAAATAAAGTTAGTTTAGTTTAGGTTTCCTCCTGTAGTAACACTGAATCAACAAGAGACGATCCTTACTGGACCTCTAGGAAGAACAGTGTAGAACTGATAGAGCTATCCAGTATAAATAAAGTTATTTTAGTTTAGGTTTCCTCCTGTAGTAACACTGGGTCAATAAGAGCTATCCAGTATAAATAAAGTTCGTCTTGTGATTTTAGTTTTCCCTTCTCCTGAACTACGACTTCAAGACCATCCCATCGTCAGTGTCTAAAGTTGGCGCGAAGGAAGGGCAAGATGAGCCGAAGATTGAAACAATCCACCTGGAACATCAAGCACATTTGAAACTCGGCGAAATATCCCAGAGCAAACAGTAGAAATATCGAACCAGAGCGTTCTATAAACGAAATGATTATTTTAAGAATGTATTTAGATAGTGATGTATATTTAATAAAACTAAATACAATAAACTATTTTTTCTGCTAAACATTGCATGAACAGGCCTGAATGACAAAATATTCGCTGCAGAGCTATAAAAATAAAAATAAAAATCTCTCGGGCTTTGGGCCTCGTCGTATTGACAACCGAGGTTTAAATTTAAAGGGAGCTGGAGAAGAAGTCTTGTACGCATGCGTAATTACATGTTTGGGGAAAAAATAAAATGTTGATTTTAAAAATTTAAATATGGCTTCATTTTGAATTTATAAATTGTTTGGCGTTGTTTTGCGATGTCAGCTGCCGTTCAATGGCTAACACTATGAATATATTGTACTCTATTTTCTTGCCTTAGTATAGATGGCAAGACATAACTTTTCAGACATGTTTTATTCGACAATGATAGGAGACACTTCGTTCAGTGTTCTGAAGAGATATGAGAATCTACAGCCAATTGGTTCTGGGGCTCAAGGAATGGTTTGGTAAGCTACTCACATACGGAAACTTATACTAACTTGCTAAAATATTGAATGTTTATTCCGCAATATTATAAATATAAATAACTACGATCTGTAGTCCTAAAGTGTTTAATACGACAACTGGAAAATGTCTGTCAATAAAGCTGACATTTTGGACAAATTTAACGGGAAATAAAATTATGATCAGTCTTTAATATATCAATAAAATAAACTAGAATTTAACCATTTATCATTGCTTTATAGTTTTACAAAGAAATTTGTGGAATTTGTGTATTTTTTCCCCCAAATTGATAGCTTTGGGCTTATCTGCTGATTGTGTCATATCTGACTGCCTATCTAAACGGATACAGGAATTTGTTTTGCATTTTTAAACGGGTAGAGACGCTAACTTTAGCGTTCAAATATATTTTTAGTATCTCATTCTTAAAAGCTAGTAAAATTAGCCAGACATCTCTTTGTCTCAATGATTATTTGTGGGTTGTAAAATTTTATTTGTGAAATGATGACATAATTATGTTAAGTATAAGCAATTAGGATATGATAGTTTGAAGAATTAATATACCTTTGGCCATAATATATATATATATAGATTATAAGCTACCTCCAAAGTAAGGGTTTGTGTTTGAACTGCCTGACAAAGATATCTCAAATGTGGCGGTCCGGTGTAATTGTAGTATGCTACAATTAGCTGTCGTGGTTTGTGTCTGAACTACCTGAAAAAGATATCTCAAATGTAAAGGTCCAGTGTAGGTAGTATTATACAATAAGCTGTTGTGGTTTGTGTCTGAACTGCTTGAAAAGATATCTCTGATGTGGTGGTCCAGGGTAGGTAGTATTCTACAATAAGCTGTTGTGGTTTGTGTCTGAACTACTTGAAAAGATATCTCAAATGTAAAGGTCCAGTGTAGGTAGTATTATATAATAAACTGTCATGGTTTGAACATTGAACAACATGAAAAAATGAATATCTTGAGGTAGTTCTGACAAAAACATGGCAGAATATTATAAAATAAATTTAAGAAACAAGAAAGGATGCAGGTGTTTGAAAATATGTTAAGTGTTTTTGCAAAGGACTCATTGTGTGTAAAAGTAATTTTGGTCAAAGTTAATTCCCACTTAAAATTTTCTTGAAAAGGAGTTCTTTCATCTTTTTTCATATAAAATAATAAACTCAACTTGGTATGCAAATTTGCCATTTCAATGTTCATTTACATTTTTGAGAAATGTTATATTCTGGCTTCATTGATATGCTAATCACAATGCATTGTTTCGTATCGGAATATCAATTTACTTGAAGAGACCCCGTCTCCAGTGGCGTAGCCAGCCCGACAATTTGCTCCCGCCATGCAAATTCAAAATTATTATCGTTATTCATTTCTTTAGAAATTGATTGTTTTCACAGTCAATAAACACGAAAATATTTGCATAGCGCGACTAAATCGCCAGGTTGGCTACGCTACTGCCCGTCTCTCAAAAGTGTAAATAAATGTTCAAATGGCAATTTGCATACAAAGTTCAGTTGGTCTATTGGGCACGAATATAGCTAGCTGAAGGTCAAGGTCAAATGGTTTTGTCAAGGTCAAGGTCAAAATCTTGGAGTACATACTTTAGTTTGGCATTCTTATATAGACTGTTTATCAATTGAGAATCATCCCATTAAATTAATAACAAGTTTCTCAGCTTCTCTGGACAAGAAAAATTATTTGGCATTTAAGATAACAAAAGGCACAGCACAATGCTGCATTATGTGTGAACAGCTATTCATATTTAAAATGCATGAAATGTACCAGCAAAGTTTATTGTTGGATTAAACTATAAATGTCTCTTAAGGGCCACTGTTGGCATTATGCCAGCGTTACAGGTTGTGTATTCACATCTTGTCAGAATGATCTTTAGAAATTGATTTTGCCACCTGAGTTAGCTTGTTTATAAAGACGTTATGGTCAGTGGTCATCAGTGGATGAGGAAAGCAATTCTATTCTTGGCTTTCAAGTGGGAGGTCATTCATTGAAAATTGAGGCCAACTAAAATGACAAAGAACAAAATGGCTGTCAACACATCTTATGTAAATGAGTTTTCCAATTTCTATAAAAGCCAATATAAACAATATAAAAGCCGTCCTATACCCTTGACATAGACCCTTGACCCTCCATGTGATATCATATGAAACCTGAGAATACTGCAGTGCACCCAAATGTGCCTTCTTAATAATATAACTCCATCTAATACAAGATGATTTCATTCAGCAAAGGATGTGTCTATCAACCCACAGAGTGCCAGGTGACTTGCTCTCCCTAGATGAGTAAAATCATCTGATGTTACACAGAGAAAAATAATAAAGTAGGGCACAATGACACTTATAAATAATAAACTGATTAAGCTGCAATGTACTTTCTTCGTTAACCAGACCATCTCTTTAGCCACAATTTGCGCTGATCCTTGCCACTCTGTTATTTTACTCTGCCTAATGCCAGACCATTTTCCTTGTCAAAAGGAGAGCACTGCTGCTCAATGAGTTAACTAGACAATCTCTTGGCCCTGATCCTTGCCACTCTGTTATTTTACTCTGTCTAACGGCAGATGATTTTAAATGTGATTTTTTCTAGTTCTGCGCTGGACACAGAAACAGGAGAGAAGGTCGCCATCAAGAAATTAAATCGTCCTTTTCAAAATGTCACTCACGCCAAGAGAGCTTACAGGGAGCTTGTCTTAATGCAGCTCGTCAATCATAAAAATGTAATTCCGTTTTTAAGAATAAAATAATTACTTGGCACATATATAAGAGACCCACCAAGGGGTTATGACCGACAGGCGACATTCCTTAAAAAGAGGCGACAGACTATCTAAAAAAGAGCAACAAACGACAGCTTCTGACTGGGAAAAAGCAACAAATTGCGATTTGTGTTATGGGTCAAAAGTGACGGCGACATTTATTACAATAAAACAAGCGACAAAGCAGCTACAAAATGAGTGACAAGCGACCTGGGTTACACCCCTTGGTGGGCCTCATATAAAGCCTGGTTGACACTATCAAACTTTGTGATCACAGTAGGAAAATTCTAGGTTTTGAAGGATTTGTAAGAATTGTTTGAGGGAGCTGACTTGGTGTTTAACAGCGAGTCAGTTTCCTCAAACATTTCTTACAAATCCTTCAAAACTTAGAATTTACCCATGCAAAATTCCTACTGTAATCACAGAAACTTTTATAGTGTAAACCAGCTTTAGCAGAGTATAAAATTGATGGACAAGAAATGCATGTCTTCATTTTGTAAAAATTTAGTTTTTCTTGTAGATTGTTTCGTTGTTGAACGTGTTTACCCCACAAGACTGTCGTGATGAGTTTACTGACTTGTAAGTTTAACTGTATTTTGTAAGGGAGTTCTGGCATTTGAAAAGGGAGTTCTGCTATTTGAAAAGAGAGTTCTGCTATTTGAAAAGGGAGTTCTGCTATTTGAAAAGGGAGTTCTGCTATTTGAAAAGGGAGTTCTGCTATTTGAAAAGGGAGTTCCGCTATTTGAAAAGAGAGTCCTGGCATTTGAAAAGAGAATTTTGCTATTTGAAAGGGGAGTTCTGGCATTTGTAAAGGGCATTCTTGCGTTTGTCGATACGTTACGACTTGCGATATGGTTGAAGTGGAAATCGACCTTAACATCTCAATATGGCTAATGTGACGTACTTTTCGAAAACCCCGTCTGGAACGTGTTGTTGATTGTGTTTCAAATGCGTTCTAAGTTGCTTTCCCGTCGCGAAGCAGAACGCGTTCCGTGTCAATTTATGGAACGCAAATGCAGTTGTTACAATATGCTTGCTATATATTTCAGATATTTAGTGATGGAGTTGATGGACGCCAATTTATGTCAAGTCATATCAATGGACTTAGACCACGAGAGATTGTCGTATCTTCTTTACCAGATGCTGTGTGGAGTCAAGGTAAAACCTACAACACCTTCCAGTGAGATGCCAAAATCCCGATTAAACCTACACATCATTTTTTGATTGCTGCATATTGTGTTTCTTATATCTGTAGTAGATATACAGAACTCTAGTGTTTAGTTTTGTTTTTTAATATTTTTTTCCATAGCATCTTCACTCGGCTGGAATTATTCATCGGGTATGTTGCCACTTTGACTTTGCATTCGAAGTAAAGCTTGTTTCTTTAATGTTTCATTTCTTTTCTTGTTGAACAGGATCTGAAACCAAGCAATATTGTTGTCAAATCAGATTGTAGTCTCAAGGTAAGTCTTAAGCCTGTTCCTCAATACGACGCAAGTATAAGCAAACAGAATGCTTTGATGTTCTTTATATGCTTGTGTTGTTCTCATTGTGTCCTCACTACAACGCAATATAAAGCACAAGCAACAACATAAGCAACAACATAAGTTATTTTCTACATTTCTAGATTCTTGACTTTGGATTGGCGAGATCCGCTGGTTCAAATTTCATGATGACGCCATACGTGGTGACGCGATATTACCGCGCGCCCGAAGTGATTCTTGGGATGGGATACAGTGAGAATGTTGACTGCTGGTCAGTTGGTTGTATCTTTGGCGAGATGATTCAAGGACAGGTCATGTTTCCTGGCGTCGATCGTATCCTTCAGCAGGATGTTTGCGCGCTAAGCAAGCTCTTTCCCGGTTGCCTGTATTCTCTAAACTAAACGAACCGTATTTTTTACGGGATAGCTCTGTCAGTCCTAAACTGTTCTTCCTAGAGGTCCAGCAAGGATCATCTCTTATTGATCCAGTGTTACCACAGGAGGAAATGTAAACTAAATTAACTTTATTTATACTGGATAGCTCTATCAGTTCTAAACTGTTCTTTCTAGAGGTCTAGTAAGGATCATCTCTTATTGATCCAGTATTACTACAGGAGGAAACCTAAACTAAACTAACTTTATTTATACTGGATA